CAAAGTATTTATGAGACTACTTACTGTATACATAACTGCGAAAAAACGCGCATATCATAGATAGGAACGCATCCATTTTGTGAATCAGTCTTTATTCAATGATGGTACTTGATACAGATTACAAATGATGGGACTCAATCTGAAACAATGGACAAGAGAGTTACACTGTGGTGTATTATTGTCTATAAATTAGTAAACTAATAATTGTTTTACAAAAATTCTGTATAAAAGAAAAATGTCTATATAATATAATAATTAGGTAGTAGATGTATGAGCTTTTGAATATATATATATATATACACATTGCTCTTTCTCCCCCAATTACCTCTTCTCCTCCCTGCCCGCCCTCTCTCGTCCTGTTCCCCTCGCATCTCTCCGTTTCTTTCCCTTGCTCACTTCCTTACTCCTCTCTCGCGGATAGCATCGCCCACGACCAGTCAAGCATGAAAAAACTTTAGCATGTATATGGCCGTATTTCGGCTGAAACTTTTTCACTCCCCGAGGCACAAAATATGAATTTACGCCTAAAATACACGCGCACGCGTGCGTGCGACCATGCCCGCGTGTGCGTGTCCGTGGGTGTCTGTGTATGTGAGTTTGTGTGACTGTAAATTAAAAACGTGTATTATAGCCGTATATGATAATCATATTTTTGCTTTGGGGGGTGAAAAAGTTGAGGCTGAAAACCAGCCATTTGCCTGGCTAACTTTTCACCGTGCAACTGATGCCGTGGGTGATACTATCAGGAGTCTATCAATATTATACTGATATCTGATATCTGATATCTGATACTATCCGCGACTGAGGGAAAGGGAGCTAAACGGAAGGAGGAAGGAGATAGGAGGGAACGGGAAGGAGTGCGCGTCCGTTCGCGTGTGCGTATATATGTGTTTTTATATGACTGTAAAAACGCGTATTATAGCCGTATATCCACATTTTGTGCTTTGGGGGGAAGGTGAAAAAGTTTTGGCTGAAAATGCATATTTAGTTTCTATATCAACCTAGAGATGGCGCTTTCAGTACTTTATAAAATGGCGTGAACCTTGTTATGTTTCAGTGAATTTAAAACATTAAAACAAAGAATTAAACCAATTTCTTGCTGTATGATACTCGCTATGAAAAGTGGGAAAACTTTAGACATTCCATAGTTACGAGGTAAGCTTTCTCCATAGCCCTATGATAAAGTTAGCATGGCACTTGGCCACTCTCTCTAGTGAAGCCAGCATGTCCACCTTTTCGGTCAGTGATAAATTTATAAAGAAGCAAGTGTAGCGACCAAATGTAATATCGTCTTAGTAACAGTATACGTGTATGTACATTATGGAGTAGAAACATGGAAGCGTCTAAACAACCGGATCCGGTT